ATAAGCGCACGAAGGCTGCAATTTCCAACGAAAGCTTTTGTCAAAAAACAGCTTCCGTCTGTATGCGGTGATGTCCTTTGGGCAGCGTTGGATCCTATCGGTAGCAAAAGTCATCCGGGCCGTTGACAGGTCCGAAGGTCAAACAGACCGGCAAGAACTTGCCCGATCTGGCGGCGATGGCCAACACTTCCATGGCCCTTCTGGTGTTCACTGCGTCCACGAAAGAAAACCAGATGGACCCAGCACACTGTGCCAGCACATCGCTAGCTTTCCTGCAGTAGTAGGTGCTCCGCAGCACCCGGGCGTTCACTCGCCTGTAGTCGACCACCAACCGTCTTTTACGATGCCAATGCCGCTTGTGCGTTGGTGCCTCCTTGGTGGGGAAAGGAGGACTGCCCCACGGAGACGAGCCTCGAATGAGCTGCCCCCTCTGGACCTCAGCCTCTAACTGCTCATCAACGCACGCCGCACTCTCCCCCTTCAGCGAATGCGGCTGCAAAGAGACCGGAGGCCCCGTAGGAACGCAGTCGTGCGCCACACCCCGGACAGTCGCGCGCGGCGTCCCTTCCAACCAGAAAGCAGCGGCCTTACGGGACAGCGCGTCCCGACACGCGCCCAAGTCGTCTGCGGAAAGGCTCGAGCGCTTTTCCGCAGCGTCGGATCCGAACCCCAGACCTTCTACCACAGTTTTCCTATACGCTTCCTCTCGTCGAGGGTCTGAAGTGACGGTTTCGCCGCTCAAGCCGTACACACCCAAATCCGCCTTGACCTCATCCCATTTTTCCTCCGTCGCTAGCTTGTCCCATTTTCGCGCCATCTCCGCCGAGAGGGCACTGATCTCTTTTTCGAGCAACTCGTGCTCTCGAGCGGTCAGCTCAGCGCTAGTGTTCACATCCGGAGGAGGGATCACAAGGTCTTCGGACGCCGTCGTGTCCTCTTTGACCGCGGCCAGGTCGGGAACACCCAGACCCGGCCCGCTAGTCGAAGTGGAGGACGAAGAAGCGCCACATTCTGGGCACAAGACCCGCTCCATAGCCTTCGACTGGACGTCGGCAAACACGGCACGAGCAGAGGCGTCGCAGCACGCGACTGGGTAGAAGCTGCTCATGACTCCGGAGGAAACCCAATGAGTGTCTCCGTCCTCACACGGCACCTTGGCCGATCCTCTGACCGGTCGATGAGCATGATCCGTGACGCTCAGCGCGTCCGGTCGTTTGCACCTTCGGCCTGCCATTGGTTTGCAGCCACTTTGCCACCTTCCTACCTTCTTCAGTCCTCCAGACGGAGGGGGAGCCGTCGACCACAGAACCCGCTCCAAGCTCCGTGAGCAACTCCCGGCAAAGCTGAGCAGCCGAGACTGGCCCTGCCCGCTCAACTCGGGCAACGCGCTCTTCCAGGGCGTAGCCTCCTTTATCAAGCTTCCTTGCTGAAGCCGCTGCCAAAACCTTGCCGCTGTTCAGCAGTTGCGTGGTTGCTTTTTGTTGTCTTTCTGGTGTCATTGTTGTGGTTGGTGTTGCGATTGTTGTTCTGGCGGTTGCTTTGTTTGTGGTGGTAATAATTGGTCTTAGTCGTACTTGCGGTGATTAGTATTAGTTAAAGTAGTTAAAGCAGTAGTGGTAGTAGTAGTAGTAGTAGAATTAGTAGAGTAGTGGTAGTGGTGGTGGTGGTCGTAGTAGTAGTAGTAGTAGTAGTAGTAGTAGCACTTAGTAGTAGTAGTAGTAGTAGTAGTAGTAGTAGCAGTAGTTAGTAGTAGTAGTAGTAGTAGTAGTAGTAGTCGTAGAAGTAGAAGTAGAAGTAGTAGTAGTCAGTAGTAGTAGCAGTAGCTGTATTTGTTGTAGTAGCAGTAGTTGTATTTGTTGTAGTAGCAGTAGCAGTAGCAGCAGTCGTAGTAGTAGTAGTAGTAGTAGTAGTAGTTGTTGTTGTTGTTGTTGTCGCGGTTGTGGTTCTTGGCGCGGCTGCTGTTGTGGATTGTTTTTGGCAAGCGTCTCGTAAGTATGAACGTGCATGTTATGTTGAACAGGACAGCAGGAATCATTTTTTGCTTCGAGAACGTATGCCTACAGTAGTCTGAAATCAGGTATAACACCGCAAAGGGCCCCATGTTCAATCATGCAATCCAGGCTTCCTTGGAGGTACCTTTGATGACAATGAGAAATGTTTGACAATAAATAGTGGCTGGTGATGTCTGGTGGTATTGAATAGGCTAAAGGAAGTTTACGAAAAGTTAGTCCTTTCGGGTTTTGGTTCTTTCGGTTTGGTGCATCTGCTTGACTAAAGCTAGCCTCCCTTTTTTCCAATGCTTCATTGGTAGGTCAACTGGCTATCATCCCTTGTAGCCATTCTCTACAGCCTTTACATGGGAAAACCAATACTTTCCATCAGATCGGATCCACTTCCAGTACCGCCGCTTCGAAGGAGTCTCGATCTGAACCAACTTCCATCCATTTTTTTCAACTCCCCTGACACAATCTTGCCACGCTTGCCACCATCACCACTCTCCTTGGTGCTGGTATCCCTCTTGTCGGAGGGGGCAATTGGCAAGTTGGCTGCCGGCTTTTTCTTGGCAGCAGGTGAAGGGTCCTCTTCCTCCACTGTTTCTTCTGGGACCTCTTCCTCCATCTCTTCCTCCATCTCTTCCTCCATCTCTTCACCCCCCCCATCAGACTCTTTCACCTCAGGTTTGGGAATCTTCACTTCACGTGTTGGACTGCTTTGACTGGACGGTCGTTTCAAAGCAATCCTTCTCGCTGAAGGCCGCTTCAAAGGAACCGACTTCCTCTCCGTGATCGCTGACGGTTTGGAGTCACCTAACTGAACAGAACCCAGTTGAAACAGTCGCAGTAAGAGCCTGAAGACCTAAAACATCTAAAATACCCCATGCTGGTGGAAAACAGAACTCATTATTCAACTGGGTCCAGTGGCCACCTTTTCCCCTGCCACGTCCACGCCCGCGCCCACGCCCTTTGCTCCGCCCACGGCCTCTGCCCCTTAGCCCAGAAGATTGCTTTTGGGAAGGTGTACGTGATGGAGTTGCAACCATGAGATCACCTGGACGCCCTTTCTGACCGGTTGGTGTTTTTGCTGGTGACCGAAGAGGGTTTGAATAATGTGTGTCGCCAGCAGAAGCAGCTCTATTGGAAGGTGTTGGACCTCCACCAGTCCTCTCAAAACTGTCGTATATGAGTGCCGCAATGTTCACCGTCGCCATTTGCAAAAGTGCTAAAGGTTTGGGAACTAACTATTATATAATGAACAAAAACAATCTGCGGACAACTCATCATGTTGAAATTCAATTTGCTCCCAATTTGGGAGGCCAAACATTGCCAATTCAATGCCTTTTGACAATCAATGACTACTTCACAAGATTTGACAGTCAAACAGCATCCAAGGCGAAAAGATGCCAAAAGAAATGACAACAGCATCAGACTCAGATTGAGTTGGACAGTCATCATTGTCGCTGTCCGTTTTGATCATTGCGCAAATCAACAAAACTTGCAAGGCCCTTGTGGCCCTATACAGGCATGGAGCGTAAGACCCAAAACACATCCTCCAGCAAAGCATGTGCTGCTTGAAAGGTTTGCTGGAGTTTTGTGCATTTTGCACCCGAAGCCAAGTCTTCAAGACTCGTCAACTCATCGAGGGCTGCCGCGAGCTCACCTTCAAGCATCTGTCTTTTGCTTACAGTGTTTGTCCAGCAGGCAATCTTGCATCGGATGCTGGTCATTGCTATCGGATGCACAGTGGTAGTACATTCTCCTTTCTCGAACCAACACGTCAAAGTCGAGATCTGATCCTCTCCACTCATTTGGGCAGTGAAGGTCATGTGTGACATCGCTGAAAGGATTTGGATCATCTCCAAAGCCACGTTCAAATTCTGCTCATTGTCTGCCCAAACATTCCTCAATTTGATGAAGGTCTCGCGGATGTTTTCATGTGCCATATAGGCTTTGCTAGCCATCTCCGCCAAACCCATGAAGGAGAACAGGTTGTCCCAAAACTGCTTCACTTCCACAAACGTCACAGCCATGGCTATTTTTTTTCTTTGAACGGGTGGTCTGGTGCTGGCAACTTTGTCAAAAGCTGTGCTTGAGGCCTAGGCGATACGAATCAGTTGACCGACAGGCCTTACCTCGTGCTTCATGTCGTCTTCCACACCGGCCAAACCAGGAATCAATGAGTCTGAGATGAGTTCAAGAATGAATTTAATCTGCTTATTATATATTACTATATATTACTATATCATATCATTTTATGCCATCATTATGGGTCGGGTGTTATGTGGTAACATCGTTTGTCCGGCACTTAGGGCCTTTGTCGCTCATGCCAGGTCTTTGCGAAGCTTCTGAAACTGTACCACAACTGCACCCTTTCAGCAGTCAGGAAAATCCTCTAATCCAGATAGTTCCTATCGCAGTGGCTGGCAATTGCACTCGGCCAGCGGTAGAGCTTTGCATCTGAAACTGCTACCCTGGCCTTCTACCCAAGTCCATTCGTCTCTCTCAAAATTGGGCTGCCAACGTGCGAACCAGATTCTGATTCTAAAGTGTTTAATACTGAAGTCGACTGATTGATCATCAAAAAGCTGTCGACAGCAACCAAAGGCAAACAAAGAAGCATTGCAATCTGGCATGGAAGAGAAAGCAACAAAACATAATATCTGGTCCTTTGCTAACTTAAACCAACTGGGCAGTGAAAATGTCCTATTATGTGGTTGTCAATTAGCCAGACTGCACCAGACCAGACCAGCATCTATTTGGTCACTTTAAGGGGCTTGTCCTTGCTCAAGGTCAGGTGCTGGGTGGTACAAACATAAGGCCGTTGAACCTTGAAGCTTTGCCCGACCCTCTCATACCGGAATCTGTAGATGTCCATGAGCAGGTCGCTGTTCCTCTCCAAGCATTTTGAGAAGACATTCTTCGCGGTAATCTTTTCCTCTGATCCACTTGCCGTTCTCGGGTCCCGAACACATTTGAACTTCATTGCAGTCTTGACCTTGATGTTGAACCCATCCTGTCCAGCCTCGAGGTCTTGCTTGCGAGAAATGTCGAGGAAGCTGAACCGATGTTCTGTCAAGCCCTTTTCACGTTCTGCCCGGATGAGCAACTTGTAGAGGGTCACAGTGGAGGAGCCTTGCGCTTCAGCAGCAAAAGAACTTTCATCTAGCTGGATCCATGCCTTGTCGTCCGTGATCACGAAGCGAACCCCTGGATCACTCTCTTCTTCACTGACCCATTGGCCGGTTCCATAACCGCCCACGACAGTATGCCGAGGAAGCGACTTGTCAACTCCACCCAAAAGCCAAATGCTGCCATCTTTCCCCACAATCAACTCCACCTGTCCGATCTCGCTGTTGCACTTGTACTGGACACCAATCTCCTGCTCAAGCTTCGACAATGAGTCCAGAACAGTGTTTGAATCAGAAGCAGGTGGCTCTTGATCCTGATCTGTGGAGTTCTCGGCAGTGGATGCCCCAGCACTACTTGTTGCCCTCTCAGTACCCGAGCTCGTAGTCGTAGTCGTAGTTGTGGCCGCAAGGAGTGCAAGGTGCTTCTCCCTCAAAGTATCATATGTAGTCTTGAGCTCCCCAGTTTGAGCCGACCAAAACCTTGGAACTTTATTTGCAACAACCATCATATCAATCTCAGAAATCACAAAAACATAATAGGAAGTAAAGAACCTCTGAATCATTCTGAATCTGTCAGTCATCATTGTCCAACAAAATATGCCCACAGTATAATATACACTACCTCACAGTTCACACATGAAGTTGAAGACTGACTTCTGAAATAGATCGGAGTTGCCGATGTTCATCTGCTTTGATGTGCATTTTGTCCCCGGAGCACTCGAGAACCTCAAATTTCACCTCATCCAGGCTGCCCATCGAAGCCTTGGCACCGGGGATGATATTGATTTCCTGCTCAGTGAGTTCGGGAGCATCCACGGAGTACCTTTGGCCACCGTGCTCGAACTTGCGCTGGATGTAGGCATCGGTGATCTCGCGAGTCAGCCGGGAATGCCCGAAGGTGTCCTTGCTGTTGATCCATCCAACAGATTGATAAAACAAGTTGTCGGTATGGAACCCGCCCTTCAATTCCGTCTTGCTGAGTCTCATCTGGAAAACCTTGGATTGGGAGCCGTGGTGGTTCCAAAACATTGAATTGCAGTCGGACAGTACAGTACAATCACGACAAACAATGTGAGACCTTCTCCCCTGTTCCCAAACAGTTGATTCGAACGCAGGGTGGACGGCGGGCGACTAGTCTTATTCCCTCAAGCTCTGGACATCCGAATCTATCGCTGAGCCGAACTTGTGATGCAATGAGATCACGCGTCTGCCTACTAGTCACTGGTCGAATTAAGTTAATCAGCAGCCAATTCTTTTCATTTGTGAAGCATCGGCTGCAACAGCATAGAGAAAGTAAGGAGGAGGGGCTTTTGGCAGCCCGCTCTTTTTTTCTCATGCCTTCCCCTCCCAACAAAACATTGCGACACTGGCCTGGTGATTTGTCAACATAATGGTGAATGAGACAGGCTTCAAGTGCTTCAATTTGTGCAAGCGAATTGCTTGCATGAATGCAAGACATCTCTGTAAAGTTGTTCTCATAGTAATATTAGTAATACCGGACCCGAACTTCCAAGCACTGTGATATTCCGATCTTGAACACAGCAAGCTGATCACCGCCATGTCTGTCTCGTAATCGCTGGATTTGTTCCTGCGGGCAGTCTTACTTCTGTTTGTTTGACCGGAATCAACTACTATGGAGGACTGACTGACTGATTCACTCCCCATAAACTCATTGACATACGACAAAGTTTAGAGTCAGTCACAGTCCTGGCAGTGCCGGAGAATCTTGCCAACAGTCAAAGATGGTTCTTTGACGCAAATAGTAATTCCATATTGCTGTGGAATAGTCATCCAACCTTCGGGTAAGGGATCATGTGGTGACCGTTCCCAAATGGCTGGAGAATCTGCAGAAGTTCCGATTTTCTCACCAGAACCTCGGAGGAGGCCCCTGGACTGATGATGCCGATCATCATCATCATCGTCACGCCAAGGCAAAATGATGCCCCTCGCGCGCTGAAAAAAAATGTTCAGGACCACACAGCATCAGGACGTCCGCATCCATGTTGCTATGGATGACAAAGTAACCAACTAATAACTTAAACTTTGCAAACTTGGCGGCAGCGAGAGGCAACAGGCGAGAAATTAGTGCATTAAATGTCAAACAACAGGTCTTTGAATCTCTGGACTTAACTTGTTCCGGCCCGGAGTCTACCCTTTACTTCCACTCAAATCTATGCAAAGCCAAGAAGCCGCTGTCCCCACATCTTCGATGTACCCCGTGAGGCACAACACGATGACAGGTTTTCCCTTCAAGACATTTGAGCTTGTCGTCAGGAGAGATGTCAAGAGAGCGACCCAGCGGTCAACTCCCTTTTGCGCTTGGCAGGTCTCTGGAGATGGCCTTTGCCTCTCCGCTCCCTTCAGGTCAGTTTCCACATCAAGGTTCTCAGGAATCATGAGGTCTTTGCTCAATGGGAGCAGCAAGGGATTGGTCATGAGCGGGCGTCCGCAGCAGCCCAGTTCAGAGGCTGTGATGAACACGTTCTCACTCGTACCGTCCAAGTTGGATACCAGGCGTCCAGTGTTGAACCGCCTTTGGCAAAAAGTGTCAAGAAAGTTAATTGGAACTGACTGGTGCCTCTGATTGAAAAAAAACACAATGACAACCAGCATGCCAGTGCAGTACCGCCAGAAAGGTTGGAACATGTTGGAACTGAACACTCTTCATCACCCTTCAACCCTTCAATTACCTGCCTGCGGTTTGTTTGTGCATCTGCAGCCGGATGCACATCGAATGTGCACACCCACCTGGCATCGCAGCTCTGGCGAAGGCTCCAAAGGCAACTCTGAAGGTCACTCTCTTCATCACACAAACCCCGCTTCGAACTCTTCTTTGCAACCTCCGGGAGCTCCACCAAGGCCACTGAACGAGTTGGTGCCAAGTCGTTGCAAAACTGCATGGTCTGGCAGAGTTCCTGCATAGATTCTGTCGATTTTGCTCCGGGCACGTTCAAGTCACAAACAACGATGCAGTGAATCTCAGACTCCTTGAAGCTGCCACTCTGAGCCTTACAGAATGCCAAACAGCAAATAATTGTGAAATCAGTAGGTCGATGGATGTCCTACCAAAAGTAGACAACTCTCAACATATAATATCATCGCCCTTAAAAAGTAAAAAGAGGGGTTCAGATGCTAAATCTGCAAGGAAACGACGAAGAGGCGGAACTCATTTATTCTTTGCTGTGCCAGCTCAGCTTTGGCAACTAAATCGCATCGAAGAAATTTGTCTTTGTAAGCCTTGATGACACGTTCTCCTGCTTGAGCTTGGGAAATCCTCCAAGACATGAGCTTGCGGTGCTTCAGTGCCTCCAAGCGCTCTGGCGCAGATTGGACCTGTTGAAGCTTCGCTTGATCTCGAAGGAGTGCACTCTGGAAAAAGCTCCACCGAGCATCCCTGACAGCAAGGCGTTCTTTCTCTACTTCCATGCTCGCACCCGCCTCCTGCTCCCGAACCTGATCCACAGCCTCCTTCCGGGCACAGGGAAGCATGGAGACCCCGAGTTGACTTGGTCTCGACTCCAACAACTCTCGAAATTCGTGGTCTTTGGTGTTGCCATTGCAAATGGCAGCATCCAACTCTGCGAAGGTGCTGATTCTGGTGCTGCAAAATGAGCGGATTGTGAACCAGAAGCATATCATGTTCCGCAGTTCCATGAGTTCCTCCTCATTTTGCCGGTAGCGCTTGCGGTCTTGAACGTTGTCCACAATTGCTGTGGCACGTTCATACTGGATCCGGATCCTGGCAAAAAGGGCACCTTGAGCCTCCCCCCGTCATAGGTAAGGACCAATCTATTGAAATTGTTGGCTCTCCGCTGACCGTCTCAAGGCCGCCTGCATCAGGCAGCGGACTCAGGGTGACTGTCGAGTTCATGAACAGGAATCGCTGGACTGACAATGATTCGCCCCATGGTCCAAATTGGAATGGGGCGTCCTTAAGACTCAATTCCACCTGACGGATTGCTTCTTCTGAACTCAACTCAAGCCAGTGTTTGATCGCATACTGTTTCTTGGAATCCAAGATCAAAGAGCCTGTGCCGCTCCTGTCCTGCAAAGTGAGTCTATGTATATCTACAAATCCGGCTTTTGTACTATATAATATAAATCTATATCATCAGTATCTATATCATCAGTTAGTGAGTCCCGCACTGAGTCCTGCGACTTTAAAACATCTGGTTTGATGGCAGTCCTTGGAGGACGCTCCGCCATGTGCCACCACCTCGGGATTGCTGTTGTACAACTCTACAGCCTGGGAGACGGTCATTTGCTCTCCGTCCTTGATCATGGATGCCAAAATTCTTGACCACTCATAGCTGCTCACAGCCAGCTTCTTGGCATCAACGTGCTGGCGAATGATGCGCCGGATCATCCCAGATGCTCGGTCTCCTGTTTGCGGTTTGTAAAAGGCTGGCAAGCCCAGCAAACTCCGGGCGAGCTGCACAACTGATGGATGAGTAGCCTCGTCATCTTTCAGAGTCCCAACCATGTGAAGCAACCCAACCCAGCAGACAGCTGCCGCCAAAGCCTTCATGCCACCCGAGTCAAAGCGCAGCTGCCCCAGGTGATAGGTTGTCTCTTCAGCCAGGTCTCATCAAGCAATCGCATCCCAAGGGATTCACCCTGGCCAAAGCGGGCTGTAATGGGCTGTAACTAAGACACCGCCTTTCCCGTATCTACAAATTATTGTTCAGCCATCCATTTCTCAAATGGTTTAACCGGAGAACTTATCATCCAGATCTGGAAAATTAATGACTCAGGTTCCAGGGCGGCGAGCAATTCCCATTTGGGGCAGGGACGGGGGGCGGCGAGCTGGGACGTTGGAGTGGGCGGCGAGCAATTTCCTCCCCTGATTCTGGGGTGAGGCGGCGAGCTCTTCCTGGAAGAGCTCTCCACCCCCCCCCAAAAAAAACATCGCCGCAATTGAAATTGATCTCCGCTTTAACTTCCCTATTGGTGATGCCAGAGCGGCGAGCTCTTCCTGGAAGAGCTCTCCCCCCCCCCCCCCGCCCCAATCTAAATCTAATACCACATTCTAGTCCCATCCAGTGGACCCAGAACTTCTGTCTGAGGGTTTCCAATAATCCTTTATTATCCTTTATTGTGATTACTAAAGAGGCGGCGAGCTCTTCCCGGAAGAGCTCTCCACTCTCAATCCCCCCCTATGGTGCCTGAAAGCGGCTAGCAATCACACCCACGACCACAGTTTACCTTCAATTTCTTTACTTTTCACCCAGGATTCCCGGACCAGTCAGTTCAAAGCTTTTTCTTAGTGGCTGGACCCTGTGGCTCTTCCCCAAAAAAGAAATGACTGGTTGCCCCTCAGACTTCAAAAAGAATGGAAAAGTAATGGTGGCTGGATTGGACCAATTGACATTCCGGCAATCTGTTTGGAACAAGTGGCATCTCTCCATCCATTCATTGCGATTGACTTGGCAATGTTATAGACAGTTGCCATGTCAGGGGCCCGCCAGAAACTTTCGCCTGCAAACGACCATTGCAAAATCGATGTGGTTGTCCAGCAAGAAGGCGAAGGAGGGAATTCCTGCAAAAGTTCCCAAGACACTTTGTGTCTAAAAACACGTTTCAACAAGGTCTGAACAGTTAATAACTATTATTTGATGGCTTGGCCCAATTCTTTGATAAGCCTGTCCTCCATAGTCAAGTATTTCATCATGAAGTCATCGTCCGTGCTAGAAGAATCCACAATGCCAAGTCGTTTGACTAAGGCGCAAGACTCTTCGACAAGGGCATCTTCATCCGCCCATACTCGCTGCACCAAATCAAGAAAGCTGCCACCATCGTTGAGAGGGAACTTCTTGGTCTCTGCGTAGCCGTTGCGACCCTGGTAGACTAGATCAATCCAGTCTTTCAACTGCAAACGAGCCGGCGCAACATCTGCAGCATTGAGAGGTTGCACTTGCTGCTTCTGATTGGAACCACCCGAGATTCGCTGACGCTTTTTGGGTGGCATGACAGGAAACAGCCTACCGAAAAACCTGTCTGACCCGCCTGAACAACAAGCTGAGGTCGCACAACAGCATATTGTATTCTGTATAGTAAGCATCAGTATTATTCCTCAGACCTACTTTGCAACCAAACCAAATGTAAAGCAAACCAAACTTGCACAGTTCCCTTGCTTGCGAAGTCAACAGCCTTCCAATTTGCACTATTCGCTCCACAGGGTACATCAACACAGCCACAGTGGTTTTCTGTGGCAAAAATTATGAATTTCACACAGACATGTTGCATCACATGCGGTGTTCTACAAAAAGAAGCAAACTAAGGAGAGTGAGCAGCGGGCGTCCAGTTGGCAAGCAAACTGACCAATGCAGCCAGATGGACTGGCACATTGAACCTGAGCCCAACTCCATCAGAAGACAACAAGTGTGTGGTATCACAGCTTTCTGAGTCAATGACTTACCCAAAATAAGAAGCACACAAATCAAATAAATCCCTTTAATTGGACTTGACAAAGTGACGCATTGCCGATAAGGTCACGCATCAGAGAATCTTACACATCTCCCATCTGAAATCGATGCCATTCTGCTTGACCAACTCCTGGCAGGCTAGCGAGCTCCTGCAAGTTTAGCAACCAATTGTTGCTAGCTATTATTTCAACTATTTTCAACTCATGTCGGACCTAATGGGTTGAAACCAGAACATGTTTTTGGTATCAATGCTGCTATTCACAAACGAATTCATTCATTTTCTTCACAAGACAGATCCGACCCCGTTTGTGTCCTGTGGAGTCACAAGTCGAAAACGACCAGGCCCTGACGCAACATACTTTCCGCCAGGGATTATGCAAGAGCTCGTTGCCAAATCCGACTTCGGGTAATTCTGCCTCTGGAAGTTTTGGTCCTTAGAGTCAGCACTCCAACACAGCACTTACACATCTGGTGGGTTGAGCCGGTTGAGCTCTCCAAAATCTGCTCGGCTGACTGTTACACTCGTTCAATTCAACAGCCTACCGAAAAAAAACAAAAAACTCGATTCATCCTTTGCATAAAGCAAAATAAATCACTAAAAAAGCACAATCTGAAGTCTTGTATTATCCAGGTAGCAACCTGCAAAACAATCAAGTCCTTCATGGCATCAAAGTTGTAGCGCTGAGACAATTCCTCCACGGCCACTGCCAAGATGGCGCGTTCCCGTGTGGTGCATGAGATAGCGGAAAACTGCAGCTCACACATGCGGTGGTGAAGTTTCTCCTGTTCACGGTTCATATGTATTTTGCAAAATGGAATTAATTGGAACAGTGCAGACTGAATTGCCATCATTATTGCCTTTAGAGGCTGATTCTCAAGATAGGTCCAAATGGCTTTCTACTAGACTCATTAATCACTCTTTCACTCCAATTCAAGAAAATGCACGCAATCCAAAAACATGTCGTGTGTCTCCTTCCCAAAGATCTTGCACTGTTCTGCAAAGCTGTCCTCCCACTTGTTGCCACCCTTACCACCCTTGCCCTTCATGGAATTGACACTTGGCCAATCTTTGAGATTCAGACAGCTAGAGAGTGGGACATTCTTCCGCTGGAATCGGTTCACATCAGCTTCCAGCTTGGCAGCGTCACAGGCAATCTCTGACTTCAAGACACACAGCAGCCATGCACGGCGCCTCTGCTGCGGGACCCCGAAGTCTGCCGCGTTGTAGATCGCCCCAGAAACAAGATACCCCAGACTTGAGAACCGCTTCTCTATGAGGTCAAACCTGAGAACGATTCAAACATAAACACAATGATGATTCAGCAGTAGTTTGTCATCCTAAACTGACTATTACTATTTATTGTATTGAGTGCTTATTGTGTTTTTGTGGCAGTGATTTTTTTTGCTCATTCAGAATTAAAATGATGTCAGTCTCAACTCACCAAAGTAAGCTGTCAACCAATATAACTTAACTTAATAAGTTTCTATTTCACCAGCAAGACACGCAGAAATGCCACCTGATACCTCCCGCTTTGAAAATAGTGAGGCGACGTTCTCCATCAGCACAAGTCTCGGTCGGTGCAACCTCACGTACTTTTCCAATCCGAGATAGCCTTTACCACTGCTGCAGTCTGGATCCAGCACACTTCCGGGAGTCGTTGTCAACATTGAAAGGGAGACACATGGAAAGCCACCAACCAGCAAATCGACCTGGCAGGGATGGTCAAAAAGTTGTCAATGGGCTGTCTAGGTTCCCAAACAATTCTTTAGACAAATTCAATTACCATCCACTTTCTTGAACCTCCGACTCCCAATCCAAACCTTAGGAACAGCTTCAGAACATCCGTCTGCAGTTCTGGCAAACTTCTTGCCCATGTCGGACACGTCACAAAAAAAGGTGCGCATGAGGAAATCTGGAGGACAGGTACTTCTGCTTCCTGGGACAAAGCTCGGCCATGAACTTCAATTGAACCTGCAGAGCGAGACATACCCTGACACTCCTAGTTTCTTGGAACCCGCCATCAAAAAAACAATGTCCTTCGCAAAGGATTGCACAAATCACGATTATAGATTGTCTGTGATATCGTTCTTGGTGGTTCCCCAATCCAATATATATAATATATTATATTATATTAAATGATCATTTTTAAGCAGTTTGTGAGTTTGCATCCCTGGAAGAAAAACAATTGGTCAGTTGCTGCTGCTGCTGCTGCTGCTGCTGCTTTCATCACTACTACCACCACACATCATTTTTATAATAGTTGGTTTTATTCATTTCTAGTAGTACCTGACTGAGCCTTATGGTTGTTCCAAAACTCTTGATAAGGCGCATACTCCTACCCACCGACACCCCTAAAACTCAGTATGCATCATAACACGCTGGCGATCAGTACGGTGACAGGTTGTTGAAGAGGGTAAAGGGTCAGGTTAAGAGCCGCTATTTTCAACCCAACAAATTGAATGAAGTAAACTATGAAATATGTAGAATAATCTCCGACTCCATGAGAAGATAACCGAACATAAAAAAGTCCGAGGGGTTCCTTAAATCCAGGATGAATTGCGCCTCCAATGAAGAACCACTGGGCTGGACCGAATTCCAGCATTTCTGCAAATCCTGGCACACCATCTCCAGAACTCCCCACCCAGAGAAAAGGCTGCCAACCCGGAGGGTCGAGTTCACATGCCCCAGGTTCTTGGCCAAAAGATCTCGGAGATCTGCAAAGACCTGATTGTGCACAAAGTCCTCCACGAAAGCTCCAACCTGGGCAGGTGAGGAGTTACATGCACGATACCCCAAAAAACTCCACCAGCACCTGTGAGTTTGGGTCCTATATATCTAAAACGTTGTCTTCCAAAACCCTGAGGCCTGTCTTCCAAAACCCTGAGAAGAACGACAATTGAAAACCGACCGATCTGTCAGGTAACGCTTGGCGGGACAACCAGGGCAGACAATTTCTCATCCGGCTGACTTTGCTGTGCGTTTGGGGCTGCGACTGCTTCTTCTACATCTGATTCCAGCAGGAGTTCATTGGTGTCGGAGCACTGCTCACCACGGCATCCCCCCTGGAGAGTCAAAACTGCAAAATAAACAACACCGTCACTTTTGTTTTGCCGATCAAGCAACATGAAAACAGACCCGCTAGTGAACACCTACAGCGACTGCAAACAACTGAACTACTTCCTTCGTTCCCGGTACACTGAACTTACTTCATTTGTTCCCAGTACTCTGGTTCATCATTGATCCCCGCTTCCCCCAAGGTCTCCTTCACCTTCATCTTCCGATGCAAAGAGGATCTCCTGGACGACGTCCTCATCAACTTTCCTCCTGGGCATGTGAAACAACTGATCCCTGAAACTTCAAGTTACAAACACCACAGCGGACTACCGTCTCAGCAGGAGCAATTCATTTTGCGCTTTGGGCAGCAAAGTCTGAATTTAAATCTTACATCTCAAATCCAATGGGCAAATCAACTGGACCATCCGAATCCGAACTGTCATCACCTGCATCAGCCTCGCCTTGTATACACAAATCAAAGTGCCTCACCCGATGAGGTATTCGCCATGTACCAGGCCGATGGACCTCCCGTCTCATGTCCGGTAGATATCTGTAATTGAGAACGGAATAGGTCTGCGGCCTTTGCTCATGATTCAAAGTAGCAGTACTCCATCGTGTCAAATATTCAGCGCCTGAAGCTGTCAATTCACCACTGCGCTTCAAAATCGGAACTCTTTTGGCAAGGTTTTTGCGCACATTCTCTGCGATAGCTCTTCTTTCTGCAATTCCTGCTGGTGGATGGAAGCCGGTCCGAATTTGGCTCGCAACAGATGCGGGCACAACCACTGTGGCCCGAAGCACTTCAGAATCTGCCAGCCAGCGTTTTGTCACCAAAAAGACATCATTTTCATGAGGAACATGCCCTCGGCCATACTCTTCCAGATTCAGAATGTTATCGAGAACACTGGTACCCAGATCTTTGCGAAGAGTAAACTTGAAAAAGTGCACATGGCGCAACCCCTTGAAGCTCAGGCCGGTTTGGCCCACAAAGTTCTTCCATAAAGCTGCTTGGTCTAGTTTCACAGCGTCTGCATTTGCACCCCTCAGGCGGCCTGAAGTCTCTCCAGGGTCAGCAGCAGACATGAAACAATCGTTCAATACAGTCAGCATCTCCTGATCAGACATCAGAGTCTTACCAGCCAGCAGTCTGGCAATCTGGCCAAATGCTTGATCAACATCCTCATGGGAATGGGATACCCTGAGGAATCCCAAGGCCACGACCCTTGCCGCACCAAGGAGCTGCAGCATCAATAAAAAAATTCAACATGTACCTGTTTTTGGCTTCCCTGTATGTATTGTCATGTTGTAGGTATATGCCTAGTGGCATTGAACCGCACCCATCAAGAATGCCGCAAAGCGATTTGCAAAGCACCTCGATGCTGGTCACACTGTCTTTCTTCATGTCCTCACAGCTAAGGTGAATCGTCAGCCGCCAGCCATGGGCCCAATTGGCCACCAAATGCATTGCGGGGCGGTACAGATTCTCACAAGACTTTGAAATCCGTCCGTAACCCCAGCGTGGAAGACGGACCTTTGCCTGGTCCATTCCGTCTTGGATCAAGCAAAGTTGGGAATTGGACAGATCTGCACTGAGCTTGGCAGAAACCCACAGCATTTGGCTAAACCACTGCCTTGACAATGTCCTTTGCTGCCAGTAGAAGACGCGATCCAGCCATTGGGCCAGTAAGTGCTTGCTGTACAATCTTGTTTGAAGCATCCTGTCTGACCGGGTCTTTGATTTTTTTGATTCTGTTTCGCAGATTGAAGCATACCGTGCACTGTGAAAAGGAGCCCTTGTCTCGGAATTTCAAATGTTTGCCAAAATGCGAGTCATAATCTTACGGAACGTAGAGAAACTGGCCACGGGTTCGCCTATGGCTTCAGCATAACTTTGATACTACATGAAGACATCAATGGGACGCATCCACTCTAGCCACCTCGTTGGACCAGAGAATGTGCCCGGTCCACTTCCAGGTTGTGCCTCAACAATGCACAAAACCCGAAATACCAAAATACTATGTACTGGACGACCAAATAACTAGCAAACAAATCAATAAAGGTAAAAGGCATCATTCTGCTGAGACATGCGTCTGTGGCATAGTTACTTTCAAGAGTTCTCATGAATGCACTGACATACCGTTCTTGAAAGTCAGGGTCGGACTTGACCACCGTTTCTGCCAGATGGCCCACCAGAGTGGTTGGCATGATGAAATTTGTGGGCAATACCTCCGCACAGCTAATGTACAACATCCAAAAGAATGAAAGTACACTGGGCCACTTTCTCTGCAAGGAAGAACGCACAAGTGAAGTTGACACAGTAGGGTGTTTGGGTTCCTCAAGGCGTCCCTGATGCATGGTGAAGGGCCGCTCACCTTGCCGAAGCTTCTGAAGAGCACCTGAACCTATGCCATATAGCCTTTTGTGCGCTGCCTGGCAAACTTCTTTGCCCAAGAACTTGAGCTGTCGCGATCCTGCTCTGTTGGCAACATACCTGCGCTTCTTTGGGGGGCTGATGGACCTCGCCCTCAGAGTCTGTTGCCAGCAGGAGTTC